CTCTCCTGACATCATGGTGACAGCAGAAAGTACTAATCCTTTGCTTCAGTGATGCCTCTTTTCAGGTTGTTAATATGCAGGGGCTATGCCCATATACTGCCCATTTTGCCCTGTTCCCATTATTTTTTTACCTAATACAAGGTTGGCACTCTGTGCAGTCTATGTATCAAAGGCTGCTCCCCTATCATAATTTTCCCTTTTAATATCAGTTGTATATATTCCTCCCTTGGGTGACATCATCATCATAGCCCATACATTTGCATCTCTAAACTGGTACCATGGAGACATCATTATCAGGAACTTTTACATTTTGTTAGTGTAATGACAAAGTGTGCAGATAAAAACAGCATACGACTAGGAGTCCAGGTTGTAGCCATAAAAATTTGAAACCTGAATTTATTTTCCATTAATAGAAATACTACAATTTGTACATCACATATACTAGTAATTTATAGCCTCATTTACAAGTTTTTGCCTAAGTAGGGGTAAGAAAAAGGAACTGCTAACTGCTTCCATGTTTGTGGCCAGGGAGGAGAACATTGGGTGTCAGGATGAAACACCGAGGTGCTTGAAAAACATTTTCTTGGGCTTCCCTGGTGGCGCAGTGGTTGAGAGTCCGCCTGCCGATGCAGGGGACACGGGTTCGTGCCCTGGTCCGGGAAGATCCCACGTGCCGCGGAGCGGCTGGGCCCGTGAGCCATAGCCGCTGAGCCTGCACGTCCGGAGCCTGTGCTCCGCAGCGGGAGAGGCCACAACAGTGAGAGGCCCGTGTACCGCAAAAAAAAAAAAAAGAAAAAAAAAAGAAAAACATTTTCTTACCATGGGAAATATATCACCCAGGATTGAAGAGCATGAACTATCTCCTACCTCTGGATGATGAGCCCTTCTATGTAGGCAACTGCATTCAAAACTGCGATGACATTTCCAAGAATTCACTTTCCTCTCTTTGTCAATATGTTTCTCTTCCTCATTAGTCTACTGCACCAAGAGGAGAGCTTCCAGAATAGAATTAATATTTACTGAGCATCTCCAACAGCCTGGCACTATGCTAAGTACCTTTATGAATGGAATCAAATTTAACCCTAAAAATTATTAGCTTTCTGGATGAGAATACAGCAAATCAAGACATTTACCTAACATGTCTAAAAGTCAGGCAATTGATATGTAGAAGAGTCAAGATTCAAACCCAGGTCTGTCTGACCCCAAATACTGAGAGATTTGCTCTTTGGAAGCTTTATAAAGGAGAAGGGTCTGAGAAATCTCTTGATGGAAATTTAAAAATCCATACAACATTTGTCGTTTTCTGCCTCATCTTATTAACCATGGAGCCAATTTGACACTTCCCTGAAAACGTGTCCTCACAGAAGCTTTTATTTTTTTCTTGGGTCACCGATAAACCTCAGAAATGTGTATGTCCAAAGTAAGGGGACCCTCTCAAAGACAGATAGGGAGTAGCTGCCTAATTAAAATAATTTAGATGAGAGAATCTGTAGCGAAACATAAGATGAAAAATTGATTTCCTAGAGGGGTTTTTTATTACTGTGTGTTTCTTTTTCCATTTGTTTTTCTAGAGTTGATTTTCATGGAGTCCCTGCCCATAGTGGCTCTTTTTGTTAGTAAAAGATCAGTGATCAGAGTGGACCACAAGAAAGACTATCAGAGAATATATCACTGTCTCCTCTGATATGGCCCTCCCCCAGAAAAGCTCATCCCTGCATTGGTGCTGGGGCCACTTAGATCTAGAGGGGGGATATTTTTTGCATTCATGCCACAGCAACTACCTACGTACCACAGTAACCACCTAAGTGCCAAACTAGTCTGGTTAGACATGCTTCTTGTCTAACCATATCTACCCTTCACCAGTTCACCATCCCTGGAGGATCTCAATACTGGTGCTAGGTTTTCTGGTAGAATGATTCCTGAGCCCTCTGGAAGCACAGCCCAGAGGACAACCATGGGCTTTTATTATATTATTTGGTTCCAATAGCAACCCCATGAGGCATGCTTGATATCAACCAGCGTCCTCATTTTAAAGATGAATACGTGAGGCTCTGACAGGACAAGTGACTCATTCTAAAGCATGGATTTAGAATATGCCCAGAAAGAGACCTTCACTCCATTTATTTTCCACCTCTCAAACTAATCTTAAAATCCATATGTGAAACATGTTTGACTAGAAGACATTTTTTAAAAGTTCTCGAGATTCTACTGATGAATCACTCAGCGACAGTAAATGGTTCAGTCAGCAGGGTACTTTGATGAGCTTTCATTTCATAGTTACAGTGTGTCTGAGAGGACTCAGCTGTTCAGAATGTGAAACATCTTGAATTCGCAGGCTGGTGTCCTGCTCAGAAACATGTTTTCCATTAGTGTTTGATTTTCAATTACCTTCATGTGTAAGCCAGCCTGCTATGATCCGGAGGTACAGTCTTGCATGGATGGCACATTGAAAAATAGATTTTAAATTATGGCTTCCACGGGTGTAAAAAAATAAAAACACTCAGGTCACATTCCCTCCAAACTACACCATGGGTAACAGGGTGGAACCCAATAGATAAACTAAGTGAATGCCCTCTTGCGGATGTCATTTGTATCAGAGAGGTATATTTGACTGAGCAATTAATTTGCTTTTCTTCATAAATTTTTCATATTCATTTTATTTATGATGGCATTTGTGACATTTCAGAGCATTAAAATGTGGTCGATATTTTAACTTTTTTTTTTTGTTTTTGCGGTACGCAGGCCTCTCACTGTTGTGGCCTCTCCCGCTGCGGAGCACAGGCTCCAGACGCGCAGGCTCAGTGGCCATGGCTCACGGGCCCAGCCGCTCTGCAGCATGTGGGATCTTCCCGGACCGGGGCACGAGCCCGTGTCCCCTGCATTGGCAGGCGGACTCTCAACCACTGCGCCACCAGGGAAGCCCCGATATTTTAACATTTCATTTGTGAAAGTCTTACTTGAATTCAAAAGAAATTTATGAGATGGAAAAAATAACATTTGAATTAATTATGTAGATATGTAAATTTTTTGTATTTGTTAAGCATACAACAATGTTATAGCCTAGAATAGGAAAGAACAGTCAGGAAACTGAATATTAACATTCTATTTGACCAGCTTATTTTTATTTTTTCATGATTTTTCATAGTACATATAATTTTCCTCCAGTGGTAAGAGCAATATACACCAATCACACAAACTTCAGAAAATACAGAAATGAGGGCTAGCTGTTCTACCCTGTTTTTATTGAGAGATTGGCAGCAAAGGGCAGAGGATCCGTCATTAATAAGTCTTGCCAAAAACCAGCAGGTACACACACCTTACCTTCTGCAATACTCAGAATATCTGCTAAATGAGACTGAATCTGCCATTTGTGTGTATTTTTTATCTCACACAGAATATATTACATTTCCTTTAACCTAAAATATATGAATTCAATTTTTAGATTCTAAGATAATTTTTCCTACCACAAGAGCTAATTCATAGTCCTGTCAATCCATTTAAAGCATGCTGGCTATTGGGCCATCATGTTGGTCATAACATTCTTATTGCTATAAATTACTGATTCCTAACTCACACAAAAAAATGTGTGCCATATTGAGGATGTGTGTGTGTGTATGTGTGTGTGTGTATAATTTGATGGAGTATATTCAAAACTTCCACAGTTTTATAATAGCGATGTTTTCCAAACGCAGAGCATATGGCCTAGAAAAATTCTTTTTGGCTGGTAGAGATATGCAGAAAACAGGATGAGGAAGCATTTGGAGGAATAGGTTACAAACAATTGGGAAATACATGAAAACGAACATCTGGAACTTGGGTGAAACTTTTCCCAGAACAAGGTTACGACATTTGTTCAACAAATATTTATTGAATGTCTGCTGTGTGTCCAGCACTGGAGAGACTGAGATGAATCAGATAAAAGCCCCTATTGTCTAGAAGTTCACAGTCTAGGAGAGACCCAAGTAGTTATGCCACCAAATAATGACAGAAGAGTGGGAGGCTGATTTCTGTAGGAACGTACAGTAGGATGGGTCACAAAGGAGAAGAGGGGAGAGGTCTAGAAATGGCTCCCAGAAAGTGGCTTTTGGATTCAGTTTTGAGGCTTGAGAAGTTGACTTGTAATGATCAAAGGAACGGCTTTGGGGGGCATTAAAGCAAAGGGTCAAAGCCAAGGCGTACGAAGAGTGTAGTGTGCTGGGGAACAGACATGAGTTCTGCACAGCAGGCTGAACCGGGGCGTGTGGGAAGGGGCGGGCATGAGCCTAGAAGGCAAGGTAAAATCTAGATCAGGGAACTATCTGGTGATCCACCGTGTAGATGTGGGCTGTGTTGTGTGAGCAGCAGAGAAAACGTCACCTTTTTAAGCAGGAGTGACAGGTTTAACTGGGTGGCTGAATTTCAGAGAAACTGTAAACCTGCTTCTGGGTTTATAAAATATTTCCACTTTAAAGATAATATTTTCCTTTAGGACTTATAAGTGGGTTCATAGTTTGGGCAAGATTTGAGGGTGGATTAGAAATCTCTCAAAAAAGTAACAAAAACTGGCCAAAGGCTTGTCACGAAGTAGGGAAAGTACAAACATGAAAAAGAAGGGTTTTGTGTGTTTTTTCTCACACTCGCCTATATATTTAATCTTATTGTATATTAACATAGAGTGTGGGATTGAAGCCCATACTTCCTTGTATTTGAGGAAAGGGACAACACCCAAACAGAAAATGGTGTGGTTACCCGGCCACTGAAGGCATTCATATCGACGAAATAAAAAAGAGCTGATTTCTGCGTTTCATTTCGAGATGGGACAAAACTCAGGGATCCTTGTCATGCCAAATGACTGTGGCTTCTATAGATGTCTAGATTAAAGAACAAGTGAGGAGGATTCTGGTTGTAGCCTTGGGGTGAGAAGAGCACATTCAGATCAGCCAAGCTGAACGCAAAGATGTGAAGTCTGTGATTCCGTGGTCTTGCTCTGCGAGTACACCTTGTCTCCCCTCTTCCAACAGATAACACCGCAGGGGTGTACGCCCGGCGCGGAGGGTTCAGTCGGCAGAAGCAGGATTTGTACCTCCTGCCCATTGTGATCAGTGATGGTGGAATCCCTCCCATGAGTAGCACCAACACCCTCACCATCAAGGTCTGTGGGTGTGATGTGAACGGGGCACTGCTGTCCTGCAACGCAGAGGCCTACATCCTGAACGCCGGCCTGAGCACTGGGGCGCTGATCGCCATCCTTGCCTGCATCGTCATTCTCCTGGGTAAGGAACCTCCCAGGTTACCTGTAGGAAGGGCCTTTCAACCAGATGCCCATCCTTGAAACACATATATTTCTCAAGTTACCGGGAATTGTGCTATATGCCATGGAGGCAATTTGAGACAAAAAAGAGGTGATGCCTGCCTGCTCATGTATTTTAGGGTATGGTGGGGGAACAGGCAACTTAACAAGCATTATAGCCGAGTTGGAGGTGGTTGTGATGAGCAAATGCCGCGCATCACAGGACTGCGTAACAGAAGACATCTGGGGGCATCAGCAGGGGACGGGGTTTAACATCAGAGATTTTTCAGGAGAGGAATTTAGGCAAAGACCTAGTATATGAACAAGGGTGTGCCTTACAAGAGGAATGAGAAGAGTTAGAGGTAGAAAGAATAATCGTGATGTCAAAGACGGTCTATGAAGGACTCAAGGAACTGGATGAAGACTGGCCTGGCTGAAGCCGATCTGGGCTCCTCCTCTAGATGTCATATGTAATATCTGGGTGCATGCATCAGCTCATGGGGAGCCCAGAGCGGCTTTTCCTGCACTTGCCTGCTGAGTTAGGTGCCCCTCTTCTGCACATGGTCCCATCTGTGGTTTACTCTGTGATAGCAGGAATGTGCTGATGCAGGTAGCATCTACCAGTGCCGGGCCCCAGGAAGGTTCGATCAGTTGTCCCAAAGCCTCAGAACTCGTGTATGACAAAAAAATCAGGATTCAAATCTAAGTATGTCTGACATCAAATTTATACTTGTTCCATGATGGCTAGTTCTTCACTGAATGAATTAATGTGTCCCTGATACACAGGGAAGAGCCAGCAAGTTTAGTTCAACCAATAGTTCATGAGTATTTTCTGGGTACCAGGCCCTGTGTTCAGCCCTGGGGGATAAAGAGAAGAATCATACAAGATCTCAGTGATCAAAAAGTTCATAGTCTATTGAGGAAAATAGGCATGAGCAGATAAATTGCAGAGGCACATGGTGAGCACCATGATAGAGACACGAACCTAAGGCAGTGGGGGCACAAGAGTAGAAAGTACCTGACGTTGACTGGGAAGGTCAGAGACAACTTCCTGGAGGATGTAACATACTTGTCAGATGCTGAAAGAGCTTTCCAGCTGGAGAAAGGGGCTGGGATGGATGGATAGTCCAAGCAGAGGGAGCAGAAAACAGAAAAGCTCTGAGAAGTTCATAATCTAGTGGTGGAGGCAGATGTGCGAACAGTGTGACACGTGTCACAGTGATGGCCAGGTGGGTACATAGAGTGGATACCAATAGCCCTGTCTGGTATCAGAATGGGATATCAGGAAGGATTTTTGTGATGAAAGATAAAGAGTCAGCCAAGCAAAGAAAGTGAAAAAGAATGGTCCTGGTGAGGGTGCTGTTACAGAAGGCACAGGGGAAAGACACTGCCTGCTGAGCACTGGAAGCCGTTCACAGTCTGGTCCAGTGCAGACCCTCATCCCTGCATCTCAGAGTGATGGTGGACCCAGAGGGGCTCTCAAGTCACTTGCCAAATTCAGCCACAAACGCTTTCTTCAATCTTGCTGAGTGTGCGGGCGAGTGTTCCAATGGAACATTGTGGGGAAGTGGGGGGGTTGATAGAGAATGAAACAGTGTCAGAGCTTTCCTTATAAGCAACTCTGCTTATTCATCCTAGATGCCCTGAGTTTAGTGGAATCCCCTCTCCCAGGGAAGAGACAGTTACAGTGGTTTCATCTGGAGTTTCAGCTGACGCTGCTTCCCTGTACTCAGAGAAGATTTGTCATTTGTCTCTTGGGGGTCTTTATAAACTACCCCTCTTCTATACAGTGGTGTGAAGAGAGTCTAGCCACGCTTATGATAAGATTTCTTATAAAGGTAGAGTAAGGTCAATGCTGACCCCACCTCAGAACTCTGGGCAGGGGCTCAGCACCTCCTGTAGAAAGTTAGGACCTCAAGTCTCTGAATGTCCTCATTTGTAAACTTTGGAGAGGCAGCTGTCTTCCTTTGCAAAAAGAAACAGGCATAACCCACTTTTAAGAGGCTGCAGACGGACACATTTAGAACCTTCCTAATTCTTCTGAAGATGACTTCTAAATAGTGTCAGATTCATTTGTAAAAACTCAAAATAGTTCCAACTCGCCAGTTTGTTTGGATATAATATTTTCCTGGAAGAATTTTGCGGATGAAGAGCCAGGTGTAGGGCAACTTTGCACATCTTTGGGGATTCCAGGTAAAGCTCTCATTTTATAGACTGGTCCCAGTTCTGAAGCATGTGTGCATCATGCTTTAAGGTAAGCAGAGTTTCCCTGGGAAAAGAGCCCAGAAGACTGGGCTTAACCTATGCTTCCTTTCTTTTTCTTTTTTTTTCCCTGTAGTCATCGTAGTGTTGTTTGTGACACTGAGAAGGCAAAAGAAAGAACCACTCATTGTCTTCGAGGAAGAAGATGTCCGTGAGAACATCATTACCTATGATGATGAGGGGGGTGGGGAAGAAGACACAGAAGCCTTTGATATTGCCACCCTCCAGAACCCTGATGGTATCAATGGATTTATCCCTCGCAAAGACATAAAACCTGAATATCAGTACATGCCTAGACCTGGGCTCCGGCCAGCACCCAACAGTGTGGATGTGGATGACTTCATCAACACGAGAATACAGGAGGCAGATAATGACCCAACCGCCCCTCCTTATGACTCCATCCAGATCTATGGTTACGAAGGCAGGGGCTCTGTGGCCGGGTCCCTGAGTTCCTTAGAGTCGGCCACCACAGATTCAGACTTGGACTATGACTACCTGCAGAACTGGGGACCTCGATTTAAGAAACTAGCGGACTTGTACGGTTCCAAAGACACTTTTGATGACGACTCTTAACAAAAACGATACAAATTTGGCCTTAAGAACTGTGTCTGGTGTTCTGAAGAATCTAGAAGATATGTAAACAGGTATTTTTTTAAAACAAGGAAAGGCTCATTTAAAACAAGCAAAGTTTTACAGAGAGGATACATTTAATAAAACTGCAAGGACATCAAAGTGGTAAATACTGTGAAGTACCTTTTCTCACAAAAAGGCAAATATTGAAGTTTATCAACTTGGCTAGAGGAAAACCACTTGGCATACAAAATATTTAAGAGAAGGGGAAGTCTAACGGTGAACTCACAATGAAGGGAAATTGTTTATGTGTTATGAACATCTAAGTCTTTTTCTCTTCTTTTTTTTTTAAAATTTGTCAAAGAAGCTTCCACAAAATTAGAAAGGACAACAGTTCTGAGCTGTAATTTCGCCTTAAACTATGGACACTCTATATGTAGTGCATTTTTAAACTTGAAATATATAATATTCAGCCAGCTTAAACCCATACAATGTATGTACAATACAATGTACAATTATGTCTCTTGAGTATCAATCTTGTTACTGCTGATTCTTGTAAATCTTTTTGCTTCTACTTTCATCTTAAACTAATACGTGCCAGATATAACTGTCTTGTTTCAGTGAGAGGCGCCCTATTTCTATGTCATTTTTAATGTATCTATTTGTACAATTTAAAGTTCTTATTTTAGTATACATACAAATATCAGTATTCTGACATGTAAGAAATGTTACGGCATCACACTTATATTTTATGAACATTGTACTGTTGCTTTAATATGAGCTTCAATATAAGAAGCAATCTTTGAAATAAAAAAAAGATTCTTTTTTAATTCTGGGTTTGATTCTTAACATTAAAAAAAATTATTTCTAATGACCCATTTATAATTCTAATTTAAGATATTTGTGATCTTTTAATAACTCTATTTATGATCTGTTGTAGTCTGCTGCTTTTATTGTTTATTTAAAATCAAATATGTTTTACATATGTTTTTTCAGACAAGATTCTGTAGCATTGTTTAAAGCTCTTTTGTACATTCTCGGTGTTAGCTTCCTGACTTCTCTTCACACGCATCTTCTATAAAAGAAGGATGCTAAAGATCTAGGTCAGTCTATGATTTTGCAATACTTGTTATATAATATGTGTTTATCTTGTGTATCAGTAATTTGATGGTTATGAGAAACGAGTCCATGAAGGAATGAAACGATCAGAATTCTGAAGTTCAAGATGGAGATTTTATGCCCCATACTGAGCATTTGAGGGTTGGCGGGGTGAAGAGTCAAAAATATACATTTGCCACGTGTAGTTATCAGATCAGACCTCCAATGTTATTCTATTCTTCCTTACTTTGATCTTGCCAGGCTATCATAATGCCCCTGGCCGTTGAAACTGCTTATTTTTCCTTTTATAATTTTAACTCCTCTTAAAACAATGTGGCATTCTAAAGTTTGATCAAAGAAAGAGCAATTCATTTCCAAACCTTGTTTTAAAATATGCTTTGGGCCATAAGCTCAGAATGAGGACAGGGACCATGGTGGCTTCTGAGGGTCAATGCCATTTGATCTGTGAGTATGCCTGCAGTCTCCTGCAGTCCCATCTTGCTGCCTGGGGGTTGGGACTTCTGTGAAGGACACTTCACCTGCTCCGTAGGGCCAAAGGTCAAAACATAGCAATACTCGGGGAAAGGACACACGGGTTACGCTATGCTGTAAGTGCTTTTCCTCTTTCCCTTAGACAGAGGGCACACGCTTTCTCTATGATTGCAGATAATTTTTAGATTATCTTCTTTTTTTTTTTTAACTTTATTGTGGGAGTTTGTTTCAAGCAATTTCTTGATATCCTGCTACATACTATTTTTATGACTCAGTCAAAATGCATACAAAGAGAAATGTTTTGATGAAGTGCTCACTTCCATATTCCTTTGCATTTAAATCAAATTGTCTGAACACTTCAACGGAATAAATTCTGTGGACAATGTCACTTTGGAATCTTTCATTTCAGTGAAGGATTGCACACTCTCAAGACTTCCATAATTGCAGGTTTTGTTCATTTTTTATATGTTTTTTGTAATCCAAAGAATATTTTGCTAGATTTGCACAGATCTCCAGTTGAATTTGAAGTGAAGAAATAACTCAAAAGGAAAATGAATAGCACTGGGCCTTCTCTGGTGGCTCAGTGACTAAGAATCTGCCTGCCAATGCAGGGGACACAGGTTCAAGCCCTGGTCCGGGAAGATCCCACATGCTGTGGAGCAACTAAGCCTGTGAGCCACAATTACTGAAGCCTGCGTGCCTAGAGCCCGTGCTCCGCAACAAGAGAAGCCACCACAATGAGAAGCCCGCACACCGCAAGTAAGAGTAGTCCCCGCTTGCCGCAACTAGAGAAAGTCCGCATGCAGCAACGAAGACCCAACGCAGCCAAAAATAAATTAATTAAAAAAAAAAAAAAAAAGAAAATGAATAGCACTTAAACAAGTATACAGCTGTAAGTAAGCCCATCACCGTGGATGATCCTTTTTTCTAGGAATGTATTTGGATTAGATTTGACAACTACAGTTTCACATTTTTTATGTTTAATTTTTTTTTTTTAAAAAAAGGCTGTCTACTTTTCAGTAGTTAAAAATACTTGCTTTTCTTTTTATCTTCTCTTTTTTACTTTAAGTCTCTATTGTTTGTAGAAGAACCCTCTTAGAAGCTTGGGAATAAAACGTCTTTCCCAACTAGTGGAGTCCTTTTTTCATTTGGAACATATTACCTTAAAAGCAATCTTAGTTTAAGTGGTCCTTCCTTATTTCAATATAAAGTAATCACTGCTTTATGACATGGATTCAGCTAAAGAAAGGACTCTGCTTTGTTATTCTTGTCCTTCAGTAGTAGGTATTGTTTCAATCATCATTCATTCACTCCTTCATTCACTCATCAAAATCTTATTTTGTAGACCCTGTGCTAGTTTCTCAAGCTTGCAGAATGAATCTTGCTTCCTGATGTGTTTCAGGCTTTCCAACCCTTTCCAAAATATCGATCCTTTTGCCTTGTAATCAGCTATTTACCTCTATGCCCACCCACCTCCCCAGACAATGCATCAGGCTATTTCCTCTCCTTCAGAGTTGAGGGAAGAAAATAAATAAAAGACATAATAGGATATGGTGAGATGTTAACTGTGAATGGAGGGTACGCCAATCATGGCCTTTCTGGACAGATCTTGTGTTTAGCTAAGTTGCATTTTATACGCCACTGTTCCTGGCATGATGGAGAAAATAAGAGAGCAGATTATCTATATCACTTGGAGAACTCATTAAAAAATACACATTCAAGTTGCCCAGAGAGTATAACCCTGTGTGTAGGGTGACACCTGGTCAATAGTATTTGAAATTGCTCCTGGGTAATTATGCAACATCCTTCACCTCTTTTTGAGAGCCTCTGTAGGACAATGGGGGGTGAGTTGGGATCTCTGAGTAGAAGAGTGGACAAATCTAGCTGCCAGGCAGTGTGGCGGACAGATTAGGAGCATATAAACCTAGAGGCATGTCAGGAGGGTTATTATGAATGTCAAAATATGATAGAAGTATCCAAAAATAATTCAGTAAATTGGTGATGGAAAAGAGGCAAGGCTTTGCTGTTTCTGCACTGCCACCAGCCTGGTCTAACCCATCATCATCTCTGACCTGAAGGACGAACACAGCCTCTTAGCTGATCTCCTGCTCCCAACTTCTCCACAAAGAAGCCAGAGGGATATGAACTCCCAACTCAGACCACATGACTCCATAACTTAAACCTCTTCACTGGCTTCCCAAAGTCTTAAATATATGTCAGTTCCCTTACTTTATTGCTTTACATGATCAGCACCCTGCAAATCTCTCCAACTTCATCTTACTCCATTCTCCTATCAGTGCACTGTGATCCAACCACCTTGGCCACCTTTTAGTTCCTCATACAGACAAAATGTGCCCCCTTTTCCATCTAAAGTAGCTCACTCTCTGTTGGTTTCCTTTGTATCAGTTACAACTCTGTAAACTTATTTTGCTTATTGGCTTTTCCTGTATCTGTGAGTCTGACCACCCCACCAGAATGCAAGCCCCAAGAGGGCAGGGATCTTGTCTTCTTGTATTCCCAGTTCTTTGCATTTTGTCTGAAACATATCAGTCAATACTTGAATGAGGGGCTTCCCAGGTGGTCCAGTGGTAAAGAATCTGCCTTCCAATGTAGGGGACGCGGGTTCGATCCCTGGTCGGGGAACTAAGATCCCACACGCCACAGGGCAACTAAGCCCACATGCCACAACTATTGAGCTCGCACGCCTCTATAAGAGAGCCCGCATGTCGCAAACTACAGAGCCCACAAGCTGTGGAGCCTGCATGCCACAACTAGAGAAAGAAAAGCTGCATGCTACAACTGGAGAGAAGCCCACATGCCGCAACAAAAGATCCCGTGTTCCTCAACGAAGATACCCCATGCCGCAACTAAGACCCAATGCAGCCAAAATAAATAAGGAAAATAAATAAATATTTTTTAAAAATACTTGAATGAATGATGGTACACTGATAAGACAGACTGATCAAGATTTGATGACTGATTAGAGAATGCCAGTGAGATACTAAGCTTCCTTACTTGAGAAATTGAGTGGATTGTGCTTTTGGTATCTGGGATTGTAAATCCAAAAGGAAAAGTGGTTTAGGGGGAAAGAAGTTGAATTAAGTTTGGGTTGGAGTTGTAAATTAGAGATGCTTGTGTGGCAGCTAGGTGGAACTAGGTAATCAGAAACATGGATTTGCCACTTAGCTCACTACAGAAGTAGGGCTGGGCATGTGGAGTAAGGGTCGTCAGGTGGTGAAGTCTCAGGAGTGACTATATTTTTAACTGGGTTTCACTGCTCTCTCCCAACTTTAAAGGAGTATTTTGATGGTAAAGTAAGTCCCTCTGGTGTTGAAGAGTAATGCTGACTTTAGTTTTATTAATAAGGATAGTTAGTAAGCATAAACCTTATCCTTATATGTCAAATGCTTTGAAAAATAAGAAGGGAGTATTAATTAATGCACTAATTCTTTTCTTCAATTAATGAGGCTTTTTTTGAGCCTGTACTGTGTGGGAGAACATGTACTAGATACGACACTGATCTCATTCCTATGAGAAGACAAAGTATGTGCTACAATCCCCATCTTACTAGACCAGAGAGGCTAAGTGTCTCTCCAACACATACACAGGAGGTGATTGTCAAAGCTGGATGGGAATACATCTCGTTTCTCCCACCTTGATCAAGGGTTTTATCCTTTAAACTTGAAGAGCTAACCGCAATGACTATTCCTCATAATCAGTGACTTAGCTCAAGCTTGGCAGTAAGAACTTGGGATGGACACTCCTTCAAGCTGCCATTCACCACAGAGCTGGACAATAGGATCTAGTCACACCTCTGAATGCCCAGCCTGCCTTCCAAGTCCAAAGTGATACATGAGGCAGGACTGTGAATTCTTTTTGCTGGGGTTTGCAGTCTTTCTATAGTATGTTGCAAATCAAATAAAAAAGAAACTGGTTAGGCATGTCATAGCTCTTTATAATATGTTTCACAGAGAAGTTTGATATTCCATCCTCTTCGTGGCACTAAAATTGTGTGGGGGGAAAAATGTCAGTCTGGAGCCTTTGTAAGGCCCCAGCAGACTGGGAGTAAGAACTGAATTTTCATCTTGCAGTCTAACTCACCTAATGATTTTTATGATCATAAAAGGACCTACTGTCTTCATAAAAGGGCCTTCTTCATTCAAGGTGTTTTGATACATTTTTACATGTGATTTTATAGCTCTTGCCACTTTAATCAGCTGATCGCCGGCACATGGTCATC